TCAGGCAGAGTTTACCTCGAGATTAAAGAAAGGTCACTCTTCTAACCAAAGGCCACCACACGTGTGAGGGTCCTTCGAGCACTGATAGCTGCCGGTAACTGGTCGGGGGTGTCCCTCCCACCTTAGCTCGTGTGGATTGCACAAAGCCTGGGTCTGCTATTGCGAGATCTCTCTCTCTCTGGGGCGGGGGGACGTTTCCTTGCTCTCCCCGATGCTCTCCCACCTCGGAACCCCAAGTGCGCGGAGGAGCCGGGGCGCGGAGGTGGCGGGAGCGGCGGCGCGGCCGTTTCAGCACCCTGGCCAGAGCCGTCGGGGCGCGGGCGGCCGGGCCGGGGCTGGGAGGGGGGCTCCGGGGACGCGGCCCCTCGGTTGCACGGCTTTGGAACGGAACAGCCTCGGCTGAAGCCCACAAAGCTTGGGGGCTCACCCCCACGAGTGGGAATCGGCAGCCCTCAGTCGCACATCTGGGGGCGCAGCAGCACACCTGGGGCTTTGGTGGCGCATCTGGGCCGCTGGCTGCATAGGCGGGCTCTCAAGTGTGCTTGCTAGATCCTTCAGCTGCACAGCTGGAGGGTAGGGTTCCTGCCCTGCCCTCCAGCTCATCTAATGACACGTTTTGTGTCCCTGAAAATGTCGTGTAGCTCCTACACTACCAATTTCTGACCTTTTCTGTGATCGTTAACAGGGAATAATGGGTAGTGGAAGGTGTTATACATACAAACATCGTTTAGTAAATGAATATTTAGATAGTGTTCTTTGAGTAATAACAGCTTCTGAGACAGTTGCTGGGAGTTTCAGCTAACTGTACCAGTATTAGTGCTACAGTTTGTGAGTGGGATTTTTGAATAAATCAGGGAAAATGAGGAACTCAGACCTCCCAGATCGTCATGCCCCTACTGAATTCTATAATCTGTTGATTATGCACTATTGTTATACTGATTTCCTTGGGCTGCATTGCATCTAAATATTTAGCCTTGAAATAATTCAATGATGCACAACTAATGAAGCAGAGGAATGACCGGAGAGATGGCATTTTAGGTGAATCACTCCACGAATTATTTATAGACTGTTCTCTCTTTATGACAGGATGTCAGCTATCTGGCAATAATCCAGAGCATTTGTGAATCATCTAATAGACTTATTGTGGCTTCCAGAGGAGGGCAAAAGAGATTAAGGAAGGCTCACTTTGTATCTTTTCACAAGCAATACACAAACTCACATTCCAATGAAAAATAGATCTCTCTGGTCCCAGCTGCTGCATGGTTACTTATAAACCTGCCCATGATCAGAAAGGGAAGTTAATAAGTAACGCAGCTTTACTTTTGGTGTCAAGTATAGCTGACTAGATAGAGGTTTCAATTATTTACTCATGCTTTTCTCTCTCATCTTTAGTCTCATTATATGACAGCTCAGTGCCACTTTACAATTCTTCATTTCACAATCAAAATAGGAGTACCCAGAGTATTATGATCAATCAGGTTGCCCTGCATCAGGATGTTCAGCTGCCTGAGAAAGAAGGTATAAGTCTATTAAGTGAGGGGGCGTAAGAAAAAAAAAAAAAGAGAGAAAGCAAGCACAACACTTCCCTCTGTCCTAGTAATTTTGTAGTATAGAATCTATTTCTGGGTCAAAACAATAATAGATCACTGCAATATGCTGTGAAATCCCAGAGTGGAATGGACATACCTATGGCTGTTACACCTTTATCTCTGGTATATTACGATCACAAATTGCACCTCCTTGTGTAGTCACTTATGTTTGCAGGGAATGAAGATCGCTTTCAGTCCTCTAGAGAGGTGTGTAGGTGCCCGGAGTGGTGCTGTGCAGTGTGAGCAACAGCTACATTGTTTCACAGATGCTGAAGTGGGCAGAAAGAATTGCATCAATTGGATGTTAAGTTTTATTAGACATAACTTAATGACACTGGTATCGTTGACATTTACATATAATCGTGGCCTTTTTCAATCACAAAAATCATGACCTTCAACATATTAAGTGTTAAATTAAGTTCCATTTCTATTAGAATACCTTTCTAAAAACATGGATTGTTTTAAAGTGTGCAGCTGCACATGTTACATTCACATAACAAAGCAAACACTCTTCAAATACAAAAATAAAACAAATGTTAATACAAAATGGCTATTTACACTACAGTGATCAGCAGCATTATTAACACAGAGACCTTTGCTCAAGCAGTTGTCTAAACCAGAGTTTTAAGTTTGCGTGTGCAGGTCAGGAGCACCCATCAGCTGACAGGAGCAGCACCATGGGGCCCTCTGCCCAAATGAGCTCCAGTAAGCCAGGCTCAGACAGAAATCCCTGCCACAGGACTCAACATTTTCATGCCGAGTAAAATTCGGGAACCCACAGGAAAAGAAGGGGAATCATTCAGGTAAATTATTCATTGAGCTATTCGCTTACATCTATAATTTATTTGCAGTGAGACAAGGGGCCAGTCACCCCCTTAGAAAAGGCTGGAAAAGGTTCAAGCATCAGTTTGTTCCTACTGAAACCCTACTTTGTACCAAAGATCTGACACTTTTGTTCTGGCTCTCTGCAGGAGAAGTTCTCACATGCAGTGATACAAAAATGTGGAAAGGAAATGTCAAACAAGTGGAAAGCTTTTTCTCTGTCTTTAGAGACAAAACCCCACCTGATTTATTACTTCTTGACAGGACAAATATACTTATTACTGCTGCTGATTCCCTAGCATTGAGATACATAAGTAAAAGCACTCAATAGTATTAGAAAACAATTATCTTTTCCTACTTATGTTTTACAGCTGCTTGGAAAGATGTGGCATCAACAGCTGCATTGGTTGTAATCCTCTGGTCACACTGTCTGTTCCCTGCATGCTGCTCATCCCCTCCACCACACGTACCAGGGTCTCCCCATCACATACTCATGTTAAGGTCAGGCATTTTCTAAAGTACCACACGCATGAATAAAATCTCCAGTGACAGAAGTATTTTCTTCAGTGCTACCTTATACAGTAGGGCTAGAGGAGACTAATAGAAAAGAAATGCCTTGAGAAAGAAATGAGTTGATTGTAGGAAGGACTTTTCTTCTGCTTTCACTGAAAAGCAGAAAAGTGCTACAGAAACAGTGGTCTTGTCTGACCAATCTTCATCAGCTGGTCATGTTTTTACTGAACTAAAACAAAACCGCAAAACAAATACTTGTATTTATTCCATGTGGATTGTTTGTTTTGGGTGGTGTTTTAAATCCAGTGCAATAATGCCCACAATCAATGCTTTCAAATTGCCTGGAAGCCTGCCCCATTGCTGATTCAAAAGTAACTACCTAGAAATACAGAGTTTGCTTATTTAAAAGTATTTTGGGAAATCACTACTGCTCCTGATGGAGAATTCCAAATACTAAGGCACAAGAGGCTATTTAGGAGATATTTGTATCCTCTAAAAATAAAGGAATATCCAGTTTTCTACAGGAAAATAAGCCACTAGAAGGAAGTCCTCAATTGTGCTTATTTTTACTTAAGTACTTCCTTAATGTCACTGGGACCGTTCTGAAAGCAAGAATAACCAAATCACTCTATTTCCAGTACCTGGGCATCAATCTACTGTAAAGCAGAAAACAAAGGTAACACAAAACATTACTGTGAGCTTACTTCACGTCAGTTGACTTCATTAGTATTGTTACTAAAGTTCTGTGCAGTGTGAGAGCATCTTCTTTCCAGAGATTTTTAAAGCATTCTCAAGGTAGTGATGATCATAACTTCAGCCCACCACTGCCTGACAAAGAAATGGAGAGGCAACAGCTGGTGCTGAAGGTTGTGGCTCCCAAAGACTCACTCTAACCCCTAAGTGTTAATGCCTTCCAAACCAGGAGAAATATTTCCCATAGGAAGCATGGGGTTAAGGGAGGAGAAGGAAGCAGCCCTGACTCCGGGTTGATGTTGATTGCAGATAAATCTGTGTGCTCTCAGAGGTCAGGACAAAGAGGTCAAGAAGTTGTTCCCTAGAAAGAAAATCTCCAGTTTCACAAGTGCAACTCTTGCATGTTTCAGAAAAGCCTCACTGAAGCCACAGAAACAGCTTATGAAGGAGGAGTGGCTCCTTTTTACAAAGGCTTCTGACATCAGGCAGGTAAACATGGGAGAAAATCCATCAAAAGACTAGTGGGATGCTGCAGGCAAGGGGAATGCCTCCTTCGCAGAAGAAAGAAATGCTCTGAGTGTACATTACCCACAGATGAGAAAATTTCTGCCACTAATACACTCAGCCAGGGCCTTGTCTGGTGATGGCAGTGTCATTACAGCACCTCCAATTCTAGTTTCTGTTCCAGGGCTCAAACTTTTTAAACTCGTTTTATCTGACAGATAAAATATCTCTAAAACACAGTGTAGTAAACACATTAGTCTCTTGATAGCAGAATGAAAATCCCCTGAAATTGCTGAATCACTTGTAATTAAGTAGTCTCCAGGCAATAGAAGTAAATCCTGTTTATTTTGAGGCAGAACACGACAGCACCATGTGACTGCAGGTAGGCCAGCCTAGGGTAGCACGTTAACAAATACCCATGGTTGCCTTCATCCAAGGCAATTTGTGTATCCAAAAGAGATATAAATCACTTAGATGCTGCTGATCCTCAGCCTCCTTTGTCATCTATGGATATCCGTGACAGAGGTGGTATTTCTGAACTGTATTCCCAAAATGCTTTCCAGCTTGGTGCATGTGGGAGTGATCATCAAAGCTGAAGGAACTGCAGCCTGGAAACTACCAGTTAACAAGGAATGATGATAGAAAAACCACAAAGCTAGTGAAAGCAGGTATCTCAACACAGGCACAAGAGAAGTGGATCCAATGTGTACATCTGGCCTGGGGTAGATAATTGTCCAAGTGCAATCTGGAACCACAGATATGAAAATCTGGGAGAGAACGAGGAGTGGGTAAGTGACAGAGTAGCATTTCACGGAGCCCAGAAGGGTTCATTTTTGATGCCTGAGCCTGTCTCAAGCATAAGATGAAATGTCTGTCTCCTATATCCCTTATGGCCGACCCTTGACTCAGGTGCATTATTCAGCCTGCTTGGGCACCCAGGTGAATCTCCATCCTCCATCATCATCCCTCCGCACAAAGGCTTGTCCTTGGTGGAAGGTGTGCGTTCTCACATTGCGGTGAGGACTTAGAGATGTTGTGAACGCCACTTCTGTTTTGTTGGGTGACAAATTGCCAGTCAAATAGGGCAGCCCATAGGCTGGGAGGGAGGAGACACTTGGCACTGATGAGGAGACACATGGTGCTGAAGAAATCTGAGGAAGGAAGGGAGAGTCCTCGCTGCGTGGTTGGGTACTGCCGTTAGTTGGAGGCACGTGGCTGCAGCTATAGGCTGCTGCTGCTCCTTCACACTGGTCATAGTCTACTGCTTCACCAGGGCTCAGGCAGTATGTGTTTTTTCCGAGGTCTGAGGACAGGGCACTGTAGTTAGCTGAAGTTTCATCAATTGTGTTGACATCTTTTAATCCTAAAGTCTTCAAGACCCAGCTGTCCACACCAGGGCTGGCTTGCTCTTCACAGGCAGTGAATTCATTAAAGAGGTTCCTTCTAGCTTTGGAAGCATGAGGAGTTTCTTGAGGAACAAACCAGTGGTCCTCTTTTAATCTCCTCTTGGTGCTTTTGAGAATGGCACAGGTTTTTTGGCTGTGGCAGGATAGGAGTTTCTATTAAAAAAAAAAAAAAAAAAGGAAAAGAGTAACGGGGCTGTAACTATATTGTGAATACTTTTCCCGATAACGGTCTAGTGGCAAGTTCACTGTCACTGAAAGCTAATATTCACAAAACTAGACAAATTGTATTTAATTTGTTTAACTGCCCCTATCTTTTATAGCTGTCATGAAACTTTCAAAGTTAATTGATTGAGAAAGGAATATCTTCTGCAAAGGAAGTGAGACAGTGAAGAGAGAAGATTAAAATCTGAATTTCTACTTAGCTGGAAGCAACACATTTCTTATCTCGGATTTTAGATGGGTAAGATGGTTACTGCTGTCCTTATAAAAAAATACTTTTTCTTCTGCTATGTGCTTAAACATATGGACGTGACTAACTATTTTGTGTCTTTATAGTCTCTGCAACAACGCAGTCCCTGAAAGAGAAGAATTTGACAATGTCAATAAGGCCTGTGCTTTGATTGCATTCTCACTCAGCACGGCGTGAAATGAGAGCTCCCTCCTGGCTGTTGAGCACTCCTCTCTGCTGGTGCTGCCAGCAGCATTTGGCAGGTGAGTGGGGTATGGGGGGAGTGTGCCAGCCTGACAGAGCGGGAGGATATGAAGGTAGGTCACACAGGGGTAGGTGTGATCCTGGACAGGTAGTCCTCAGAGCAGCTTTGAGCTCGTTAGCCCACCTCAGTTGCCATTATCCCAGGACAAGGGCCCTTCAGGCATCCAGGGATGCTCAAAGAAAGGTGGGAATAACAAGGAAGGTCCCCACCATGTCATGAATTCACAGCTCAGCCACCTCCCATGGCAGTTTCACACTGGACTCTCTTCCATGTGACACAGAATGGTGGCCGTGTCTCCCTGCTGTGCCCACGGAAGATCTTATACTGTCAGGAGCCAGGTCTTAGCATGGGAGGGGGGACCTGCCACACCACCAACTCAGAATAGGATGTAAAAGGGAAATCCACTATTTTTTGCAGGCCTTTTAATCTCATGCCTAATCCACAGAGCTGAACAAGTAATTAACGGTTTTGTTTCATGGGCAAGTCCACAATAGTAAAAAACGCCTTTAAGTTGACAAGAAACAATTATCTTTACTTTCTGTTGGAAGAGAGACAGAGAATCAAAATATTTAATTAAAAAACCCTTATGTTTAGTTTAATAGCATGTTTCATCAAAACTGAAGTCTTCAATTTTGTATTGAATCTTTAAAAAACAACAAAACTTTTTAATTAATAAACATAAAAAAAATAGAAGATAAGTATTCTAATGTATAAATGAATAAAATGTACCATTGGAAGATGACAAAACATAAAACAGAAAGCACCCAAAACATAAAAAAGAACAAATAAGGATAAATCCTTATCAAAAAGGGATAATTGACAAAACAGTCAAGAAATATATGTTCAAATACGAACTTCTTACTGTAAAAAAGCTTTATATGGAATAATTTTACCTTGCTTACAAACTTAACTTATTTATAAATAACTTATAAACTAAACTTAATCATGCCATGGTAGTCCATGTCTCCACAGTCAGAATCTGATAGGACGTCATTCCTGAGGGAAACCGTCACCTTAGACCCATGACCAGCAACTTGGCAGCTCTGTGGAGTTAAATAGATCTCACACTGCAGGTTGTCTACACTCTTAGACTTTCCACATATTTTAATGGCATGTACCTATTCAAACCATTTCTTCTGCACACGTCTATACAACAGGTTTGAACACAATACCTTGGCTTTTTCTTCTAAACACTTAATCAGGGCAGAATTCAGGTATTGTCGGAGGTTATTATTTTCTTCATGTAACCTAGCAAGTTCCTCTTCCTTCTGAAGCAAAGTATCTTGAAGCTGTGGAATAGAGATATTGATGAATAGATGTTGACTCTGTAACTTAATAGCAATCGCCCTATGGTACAGGCTGCTTGGACTTGATGATCTGGGTGTTTGCTTAGTGAACTCAACCTACCACCTCCAGCCTCTTGTCTCTGTAAATCTAAGTGGCATAAGTATTTAGTTTTCACTTTTGACTTCCTTTATTCTTTAGCAAGTGTTTGAGAAGATTACTCTGAAAAAAAATCTTTAACCATGGAATAATAACAGAAAAGAATTACAGGTAACCCTGTGAACAGCCAGAAACCGTCACGGGCATGACAGCAGCTGGCAGATCTCCTCCAGAGTGGCAGTAAATATCCCTTTGCACCCATCTCATTCCCATTTATAGTTGGCTGGTGGGAGAAGGAGGAGCTGCAGACTAAAAATTTATGCGGGTAGAGTGCAGAAGGAAGTTGCAGCTGCTGTTCTTTATGACACAGTAGTACTCCTGGAACCTACTGTGCCAGTCCCAGTATGTATACAGAGCTAAGTCTCATCCCAAGATTTGAGCAGGTATGTTTTGATTTGCAGATGTCTAATACTTTTTCATGGGAAGTATGGGTATTTGCAGAGAGATGTTTGTCTCTTGATCATAGCTCTGGAGACTCCTTTAAGAGGACAAAGGATCTTCTGCTGAGGACCCCTGGCATTCTCTGACCACAAGTCAAAAAACCAGTGATTTAAATGTTTGAGACAAAGCCAAAGAAAGAAATTCACTGATGTCTGGAGCTAGGGTTTGATTCCAGGGACCTTGAAGTTAGTACATGTTTCCATTGACTTCATTGTGTCAAAATATTACTCCAAGGATTTTATCAGAGTGATCTCTCTGGAATTCCTTCATCTAGTACTGTTCAGAGTTTCTCCTGCCCCTTGATGGGATTTACAAAATAGGAATGAAGAGGTATAATAAGTAAAAAGTAACAAGGAAATGCTTATTGGTCACAATGGTTCATCCTCCATGTAAGCAGATAATTCTGGTGGACTCATTTCTCATTAAGTTCATCCTGGTGGACTCAGTAGGGCTATGTATTTTCAGTCAACAGCATGAGGCTCTGCATCATCAGAACCTGAGGGAGTCCCTGGTCATGCCCCTGGTCTTCTCTAGCACGAAGGCAGCTACTGCAATATGCTGTAAGAGGGAGAGACGAATAAGGAACCCCCTAACAGTTGTTCCAGCTTCATGGGACAACACAGGGGAGACAAATGCTTCAAACAAGGAAGAAAAACCACCCAAAGAAAGCAATTTGCCACTGTTTCCCACTTCCCAACCAGTGACACAAAGTTCGGGAACGTCGGGGGGAGATATTGAGGTCACTGGGGGGATGCACAGTGCCTTTACCTGCTTGTTTCTGTAGAGCTGGGAGGAGAGCTGGTCTCCTTGCCACGCCGCGTCCTGCCCACCGAGCTGCGGGCTGTAGAACTGGCCTGGGGAGGAGCAAAGCCGAGGGGTCAGCCCGCTCCCGATTCCTCCCCCAGCCCGGCTGCGGGACCGCGGCCGGGTCCTCCCCGTCCGCTGTCTTCCCGGTGGCGGCGGCGGCGGGAGCGCACTTACCGGGCGGCCGAGGCTCCCGCCGGTCCTGGCCGTGCGGTGGCGGCGGCTCCGCGGCGCAGACGGCAGCCCAAGTCTCCTTGGAAACCCCGGCGGGGGCGGACCAGGGGCAGGCGCAGCCCGGGCCCCCGGCGAAATCCGGCTCCGGGCACGGCCGGCCGGTGCTCTGCGGAGAGAAGCGGCCGTGGCGATGGGGGAGCTCGGAGGATGGTGTGTCCCTCTCTTCCCGGGCTGCGGCGGGACCCGGGGGGAGGCGGTGACAGCCCTCCTCTGTCCCCGCCGCATCCCCGCGCTGCGGGCTGGTCCCGGCTCGGCGGGGAAGCGCTCCCATCCCATCCCGCCCCTGTCCCGGCCGGGATGTGCTCAGGTACCTCCCTGGGAGCCCCGGCCGCCCCTCCGCCTGCCCCCGAGGGAGCTCCCAGCCTTGACCCGGGTATCCGCTCCCCCCCGACACAAACCCGCCCGGTGGCACCGCACCGCCCGGCTACCTTTGCTGGGCAGTGCAGCCCCCGTCGCAGCCCCCCGCGGCAGAGGGGCTCCGAGCAGAGGTATGCCAGGAAGGTGGCTGTGTTTCCTGCAAGCCCTTGGGAAATACTAGGGTCCCGAGTGGGTTTAAGGTGAAGGCAGGACCCAGGCTGTCCTTGGCCAGTCCGTTCCTCCCACCGCGGGGGTTTGATTCAGCTCTAAAGCTGCACAACGCCCGCAGAGTCACCTCCAGGCTGTTCGCGCTCTCTTCTGCCCCTGCAGTTCCGCAGGAGTCCCAGACCGCACAGTTGCAAAGCCTGGGGTTGTCTCTGGACTCTCCCTTTTTCCCTCCTCCGAATAAGCCCTATCTGCAGCAGCTCTGAATCTCTGCAGGGCTTGGAGCCTCTGGGAGGGAATCTGCTCACCCATGGGGAGGCACAGCAGCAGGGACTGCTCCTGCAGGTAGAGGAGAGCCCTCTTCCTTCCCCATCTGAAAGAGGGCACAAAACCTACTGCAAGCCCCCAAGGCAAAGACACCAGCTTCTCTTTTTCTGCCTCCAGGTCGACAGAAATGCAAAGAGCACTTACCATGTTAGTGGCAGAATGAAATGCAGGTCTTGGGAGCACGTTTCTGTTAAAGCCCCAGCGAGGTTTAAATGGCTCTGAAGGAGGGGGAGAGGGGGGAGACCGGGGAGGCGAGTTTAATCTAAAGGAGCTCCCAGTGACGCCTCAGAGCTCTCCTGAAACCCAGCAATCTGATTTGGTGTAAGGCTGTCAAACTTGTGACGTGAATAAACAGCAAACTTGCTGAAATCAAAGTCATTCTGGCCCCACAAATCAACACAAGGAAGGAGGGAAAAGAAAAGAAGGAGAGAGAGGGAAAAAAAAAAAAAAAAAGCCTCCACACACTTCAGGACAGCACTGAACTGGTGTGTCTGAGTTTCACTCCAGGAAATGAGCAGTGATCCAGGGAAGCATCCCACATGTTCAGAGCAGGGCTGCTGGTGTTGCTGGTGAGGTTTGGGTTTGCTTTTTTTTGTGTGTGTGTGTTTTATTTTGTTTTGTTTTCAAGCCTTGTTTGCAGTTGTAAAATCCAGCAGGAGGAAGCAAGTTTGTCCAACATGCCTGGCTGAGGGAGAGGGTTTTCCACAGCTACCCAGGGGTGCATAGAAGCAAATATGATTCAGGGCACTTCTTTGGGCAGTTTTGAGGAAGAAAGTGTAGATTTCAGGATTGTCATTACAATTGTCATTACAGTCTGTAATGACAAGCTCCTGCAAGTGTCTCACTATATTGGGAATTAGTTTTCTGTCAAGCCCCAGGCTTCCAGAAGATCCCAGGATATAAATGCTTTTGACGATGTAAGATTTGCAGGGTAAATGTTAGAAAAGCCATACACAGGTGTGTGAAAGACAGAGGTTGTCTGCATACAGTCACCTCTAATTCACATCAGATTTCCACACCAGTTAAAATCCATGGGTAAGCTTGGGTTTTTCCCCAGGAAAAAAGTAATCAAAACAAAAAACTCTTTGCTGAGGATCTGTCTCTGACCAGTATAGGGGATGGTGGGAATGGAGCTAACAGCAGAGCAGTTGTTCAGTCAGGATCCTGCCCCGGGGAGGGCTGTTGCGGGAGGTAACACCTGACCTGCCCACGGACACAGCCTGCAGCCAGCCGAGGGTAAGGCTGGGCCGGAGGCAGGCCAAGCTGGCAATGGGATGGTCTTTCATTTCTCCCCTGGAGGATGCTCCGTGCCATTACCCCATTAGCAAGGCTCAGGGACAATGCAAACCAAGAGGGTCAGTTGCCTTCCATTCTTTAATTATTGACATATTTTCCTAGGTTGCTGCCCAAGGTGAACTGGCAGCTATGCCAAACCATGTCACTGCCATCTCCCACTTTTTTTCCCAACGGAAGTAGTTTAAAAATGGCTCATGCTCCAAACCCATACTGCACCCAGCCTTGACTCACCCTTTGGCTTTCCTAAACGCCAGCTTACACCGTAAATTTTATATATGCTGTGACAAACCATACTCTTCAAGTGCCAACCCCTCTCCTGCGTGGAGCTGGGGGAGCAGCTCTTGACTAACAAGAAACACAAGCTCTGTGAAACCCTTCCAAGGAGCACCAAGGCCCAGCACACTCCTCCTTGCTTCCATTTACTCCCTTCACCCCTTATTGGGCTGCCTCAGGGTGCTTCCCTGAGTGCTGCGTCACCGGTGGCTCCCTCATGCCGGGGCACACACCACAGAGGAGGACTGCCACCCTGGGGCCCAGCCGATATAACACGCCGAGGAAGGGCCCGGGACAGGCCGGTAAAGGCGGGACAGGCCGCAGCCTCAGGCTGTGGCACCCAGCAGGAGAGGCTCTAGGCCGGGCAGCCTCTGCAGGGCCGGGTGAGGAGGCAGGCAACTCCAGGACAGGCCGAAGGAGTCCTCAGGGCCCGTAGCAACCCTGTGAGAGGAGAAAAGGCCCCACGGCGCCCTCCCAGCCCCGGCAGCCCCTCCGGATGCCGCGGCCTCGGCCTGGGGCTGCCCGACACAGCGGCCATCTTGGGGCTGCCTCCGAGGCGCGGGAGCGCCGGGCCCGGCCATTGGGGGAGACGAGCGGCCCCGGCGACGTCATCAACGCGCGCCCGCTGTAGGGGGGACATGGCGGTGGGGGTGCAATTTCTCCCCCGCTGTCTGCTGAGGGCCGGGGCAGTTCTGCAGTGTCTTTCCTGGCCATATGGCCTCTCTGCTGACGCTTCCAGGCATCCTGGGGAGGTGGCTGCCCGGCCCTGGGTGGGGTGGAGGCTGGTGCAGAGGAGCCTGCAGTGGGGAGGCCTGGTGGGCGAAGGGGAAGGATCCCCAGTGCAGGGGGTGCCAGGCTGCCCCAGGGCCATCTTCTGGCTCATCTCTCAGGGGACACAGGGCAGCTGTAGAGAGAGGAGAGTCGAATGTCTAGAACCATGTCTAGGGAGGGACGATGGGTGGGCAAAGTTTCCTTCCTGCTTTGTATGGATGTAGGTGCGGGGAGAAGCTTTGCTGGCTCACAGCTGCTCCTAGATGGGGCTCTTTGCCTGGCACAATGCTGGTGGCTCTGTCTCTGCTTCCTCTTGGCAGAGCTCTGTATGCTCAGGCATGTTATTTGTCTCAGAGAAGTGGTGGGAGGAGTATGGGCAGACTGTTGGAGTGAAAAGCAGGTATGAAGAAAACCTGTGGTTGCTCCATTGTTGCTTCTGCACAGCTGGTATCATTTTGGTTTGGGTTTTGGCCATGCCTTGTGTTCAAAGCTCAAGGAATTCACGTCAACTCACAATACCGTGGTTTCTGTGCTGGGGAGTGAAAGATAGTACTACCGAATCAGAGAGCCTTGTAACGTTTGGGGAAATAACTTCGGGTGAACTTTCTGTCAAGGAAAGACAAGAACTGTTGGTGTAAAAAGAGCTAAATTTGCAAAATTGTGCATGTATGTCACATGTGATGGTAGAAGAGCTTCAAGTCATGGTAGCAATTGCACATCAATGTATAGTTTAAACCAAAACCCAGTGATGATCATAGAATCATCTAGGTTGGAAAAGACCCTTGGGATCATCAAGTCCAACCACCAACCCTACTCTACAAAGTTCTCTACACCATATCCCCCAACACCACATCTAAACAGCTCTTAAACACATCCAAGGGTGGTGACTCATATTCTTCTCCTATTTATCTGAGGCAGCCTCTCTCAGAGGTCTTTCAGTGGTTTCCAGGGACAGGACAAGGGGCAACAGGCTCAAGCTGCAACATAGGAAATTCCATTCAAATATGAGAAAAAACTTCTTTCCGGTGAGGGTGACGGAGCACTGGAACAGGCTGCCCAGGGAGGTCATGGAGTCCCCTTCTCTGGAGATCTTCATGACCCACCTGGATGCAGTCCTGAGTAATGTGCTCTAGGCGTTCCCGCTTTAGCAGGGGAGTTGGACCAGATGATCCCTAGAGGTCCCTTCCAACTCTGACAATTCCGTGATTCCGTCTTACTGCTTGTTGTAGTTAATGATGCACTTCTTTAGTTGGAAATAAAGTTTAGCGATGAAATGTTTATCAAGGCTACAGTATTGCTTCAGTGGAGACTGCATTTCGCTTTGAGTGTCATAGCAGCTCTTTTCCAAAGTTTTGAGAACACACACGTATTGTGGTGTGTTAATTCCCATGTGTTCTTTGCACCTATAACGTCTCCTGTAATTTCAGTGTGTTTCTGTAAATGATGGTGATGAAGCTAATCCTTCAGATTAAAAAAAAAACAAACCCACAAAACTGACAAACTTGGGTTTTTCTCGTTTAACTTATTTTTATGTAGCAATGACCCTAAAATTGTGTTTGGACCATTATGAACTGGCTCTCAGAAGAGATGGTACACAGAAGAAAAATATTAATATTTGCAGATAGTTTAATTCAACCTCTATATTGGACTTACTGCAGTGTGTGTTACGTTTCATGCTAATACCTGCACAGGTGTCCAGACCCACCTTGAATCCTCTTCACTTACTCTGCCATATTCCTGCTAGAGAGCTTCTTATCCCTCATAAGAACAGTTAGTGCATCAGTGGCAAAAGAAAGACTTGCTTAATACATTCACATACCAACCTGTAGTTGGGTACACACAAGTATCTGGTGCCTGCATGAATCTCTGATGAGGTTTGTGAACTAAAGGTGTGATTAGTTAAACTTGATGAGACTAATTTGCAAAAATGCTTCTGAATGGAAATTCATGCAGATACACGTTCTCTTTTCTCTGATCAAGTCTTTCTCCTTGAACACAGGACTAAAAGGCACTTCCCAAATCCAGTCCCCTGCTGTTGACACATTCTTAAACTTTTCAATCTCCCTCTTAAAACTAATTAGGTTATTTTCCTTACGTTATTCCCACTGTGAGGCTACACCATGCTCTGAGGGCTAGACACTTTCTAGTTTCTAGTCTGAATGTATTCATAGCAGGTATAATCCCTTTTGTCCTTGTGCCAACATCTTGCTTTAGTTTAGACACTTCTCTCTCTGTATTGTTTAGCCTTAATGTCTTTGTAGAACGCTGTCACATACTGTCTTTTCCTTTGCTTTTTGGGTCAAATAAGGCAGGTTCTTTTACAATCTTCCCCAAACATAAACAACTCAGGAACCCATTTCAGAGAATATTCCATCTGACATTAACCTGTTTTTCAGATGGATGACCAAAATTACTCAGTCTGCTGTGTAACGCACCAATGTTTTAGAGAAAAGCATTGGCAAATCTTTTATCTCTATTTTTTTTTTTTCTTCCTGGTACATTTTAGAGTAAAGTTTACCTTTCCATCACTCTCTCACACCAGTTCTTAGTTTTGAAATCATTGTCACCTGGCAATAAATACACCTGTAGACATCATTTGAGGTTAAATGCAGTTAGTCGAACTGAGTCTTTAGTATTGTTGGGCTCCAGCTCTCTTGTGCTGATGCTGTGTAGTACTGGAGAGTTTCATAGGTATTTAGGAGCAAACAAATTGAAAAAATGACTTCAAGATGGAAAAGTTGTAATAGACCTTTCCAGGTTTGCCAGCAGCTTCTCATAGCAAGAGTGGTGAGTCAATAGATACAGGC